ATCTCTAATTTATTCTGAGTCCTGCCAGGAGTACTGTTTGCTCATTTTAGAGAGTGATTCCTGGAGCAAAGACCACAGCTGACACTGCGCAACAGCAATGCTTAGTTGATGCATATTAGGACAATCAAAATAATCCACTATAATCCCGCTGATAGAGTAGTACTTAACTTAAAAAGAGGTTATCACACGTGCCCGAATAAAGCCTACCTGGACACATCCTTTTAATAGACAAGTAATCCATTACACATCTTTGTCACAAAGTTACTCTCAGTCACTTTCATACATAATGAAGATACTTTTCATCATCACTCAAAAAAAGACATTGCTTTGAATTTAGCATCCATCATGAAACATCCATTTATCAGCTACTTAATGGACTTTTGATTGGAAGGCAGGTTCTTTTCTAATCTAAGAATGGTTTGAGTTGGAAGGGACTTAAATCTTATCCTGTTCCAACCCCCTGCCATCCGCTAGCCCAGGTTGCTCCAAGCCCCATCAAACCTGGCCTTGAACACTGCCAGGGACAGGGCAGCCACAGCTTCTCTGGGCAATCTGTGCCAATTTCTCACCACTGTCACAGTAAACAATTCCTTCCTAATATCTAATCTAAATTGTTTCAAATTGTCCAGCTCAGTTCTTGGTTTCATTAAACCTGCAGCCCTGTATAAGTTAGTATTTCTAGCCCATAATATTCTGAACTCTATTCAGGCCACCAGTGAACATCAATGTTTAAGCTCTGTGCCAGCTCTGATTATTATTGTGTACTGGTCAGGTACATGGCAAATGACCACTCTGGTGTTAGGCCAAGTCTGGCCTGGGCCTGAATGTTTAACGCTTCAGTACTCATAATAATGCAATATAGCAACATATCAATTACTACAAAATTAGCTGAGAATTGCTCCTGGATGCAAATGTACATAGTTCTGACATTTATTTTCCTACCAAGAAAGACTGAATTTTATTTTCAAGAGTGACCAAGATATTGGCATAGTGCTTTGTGCTTTTCAAATTGTCTCTATTTGAAAAATTAACTATCCCTTAAGGTAAATTAAATGAACCTTTTTCTTTGTTCTTTCAATCCTTCTGCTAGAAGCCTAATGCTGTTCAGCTGGAACTGTGTGTAAGTCAGAGATACACAGGTTGCTCCTTTGAGTATTGATTTCCCAAGCAGCATATAGACAAAGAAAAACTAGCAAGAATAAACCTAGGCAATTCAGACCATCTTTACTGTCAGAAGAAATGCAGGTACTTACTGTGCTTATGGAGGAATATGACTTGGTCAGACCATGTAATGATGCATTCAGTGCAATTTCAGCAATAGGAGAAGGGGATATGTGAACTTGAAAAAAGGATGGAAGCAGAGAGTCCCAGCACCTAGAGATCACACACAGATCTGATATCATACCCTTAGAAGGCAAAATTTGATCTCCATTTAGACCCATTCATCCTGCTTGAAGCATTCATGTAATTGAACACAGTAGCATTTCCCAGCACCTTGTTTCTATCAGACGCTGCAAATACTGTGGAATGTTTCTCCATCAACATCAAACCTTCTTCCTGGCTTTACTTCTCTCAGTGAGAAAGAGCGCAATGCACAAAGGGTAAATATAGCTACTTCCTAGCCCAGAACCAGAACTGTTGGAGTAGGTTTACGTTTACATGCTTATTCTCAGTCCTGGAATGGAAAAGCTGCTACTACAACTGCTTGAAACACTTGCTTTGTCCCCAGTTCTTCTATGCAGGTTTATTTTCTGCCTCTTCGGTAATATTTTCTGCTTGCAGTCACATTTTCTGCTTGTTTCTGTTGGCATTCTGTTTATCTATGAGTATGAACATGCATGTCTGTGCATGTATTTGTGTTTTTTTCATATAGTTGTGTATGTGACTGTATGTTTGTATTTCACTTGTAATTGTTTCCTTCTGGCTGCACTGAAAAGCTGTAAATATTCCTATTTCTTCTGGCACGTACAAACAGTTGTGATTACAACAGTACAAGTTTGGAGATAACAGCTGACACATCCCTTTCTGATCACAACTTCTGTGGGAAGCCTCCCTTTTAGTCTGCATTTGGTAAGGAAAAATAAGGGTTTCTCACAGAAGATAAAACTGTGTCAGCTTGCACTCACCTAGGGATGTGCTGAGCTCTGAGACAGGTGAGCTTAATGTTAGGATTGAAGTTGCACATTGTTAAGCTGAACATTACAAATACATTTTTAGGTATGCTAGAATCAAGGCATCACATGGCTCTTGAAATAAATTGCAGAAGTTCTGCCTAAATAGTACAGCTCTATAATTAAAGTGAAAACCCACTGAAGTGGCATTAAAAAAAAAGCATATATACTCATGTGGAAAAGACTTCTTCTGTAATCACACCCTACCTTCACACAGATGTTCCTGAAATGGTGCAAATCTGAAGAGCACCGAAGACCTCAGATTGCTTCATTTTTCTTTGAAATGTAGCCATAGCAGTATTTCAGTTAACTTTGTGTTTTCATATCAAAAGCAGCACTGTGAATGGAGACAGGTCATTTGTATAAACAATTAATTGAATGAACCTTTTTTCTTGTTCTTGTACTGTATATGAACACAGTGTGGTTTACATGTATCTAACTCAATTTTCATTGGGGAAAAAAACCCCAACAAACACACACACAAAATAGCCCAAACCCTAAACTGAACCAAAACAACCAGCAGCTAAAAACCCAGCAGAACTCAGAAGCTGATGCTTCAAATCTGACACCTGACCTGGACTGGGAGGATATGGTTTGCCACTGAAACTCCAGGGTGGAATGAATGGATAGATGGATTAAAAGAGCAGGTAACACAGATGATGGAGATTTCAAAGCAAATTGTTTCTTTGGCATTTAAAAGGATTTCCCCTTGCACAGCCAGTTGCAGTGATAGGACTTCAGAAGAGAGGCTGCTCCCTGCCTATTCTGCATTTGCACAGTGCTTATATTTAGCTTAACTTCAGCCACTGGACCTGAAACTGCCTCAGGCACTTGGGAAACTCTGCAAGATAAAACCTAGATTTGCTTATCTATTTGCTTTAGTGTTCATTGTGTAAAATCAGGAAAATACGTGATTGAAATCAGGCTTCACTGGTTGGAAATAATCACAATTCATGAAGTGCTCTGCATTTACTGCCTAGCGTGCAATCAAAAAGGGTGACAGTGAAGCGGCTCCTCCATCAGCACTGAAATGTGCATCTTGGCTGCAGGTCTTGAGGGTCTGAGGTCAGATAAAGAACTGGGCACTCCAGAAGTGCCCAGTTGTTATAAAAGAGATCCTGGACAACCAGTCTGGGCCTGTGTTAGTAGAAGGGCCAAGATGCCAGTAGGTCTGCCTCCCCCTGGGCAGACTTGTATGGCATCTCTAAGTGTAAGCAGAAGCAACAGAAATGTGTGCTCCTGTGGGCAGTGACAGGGATCCAGGAGCCAGCAAGGAATGGGCAAGTGTCCAGGACCAGCAAATAAACAGAGCCAGCAATGCACTAGGAGCTGGCTTTGCCCACAGAGCTGCTTTTAAAACCACTCACCCACAAAGGCTATGGGGAAACAAGAGCCACTGTTTCCAGTGCTGTTAGCTGGGATGAATCGCCTGGGTTTTGTTCTAGCAGGCACACTGCAAGCCTGTCCTTCCTGCAGGACCTGAAGTTATGCCAAAAGCTGCACTGTGCAACTGTAGCATGCACCAAACCTCTTGGATGAATAATAGCCCATCCAGGCCCAGACAAAGCCATTATGATATATTAAGTCAATACAGCATAGAGTCCTTCACGTTTTTGTCCTGATCTGGAGACGTTAATTGCATTCATAATAGCTCCAGGGGGCCTGCAGACTAAACACAATTTCAGTGAACTATTAGAGCTCTTTCTTGGAAAGGACCATTAAGACTGCAGAGCAAGTGCTCAGGACTGAGATGCCATTTGTACAAACTGTGTCATCACAAACAGTTTGGGGACTTGCAGTCTCTGTAGCGAAAGCAGTATGTGAGGCAGTACACAGCAAACAGCTCTTCTGAAATCCTTCCAGACCTTCTTGTTTCTGTGCACGATTTGAGTTAGGACTCAGAAGTAATGATACATGGACTAGTCCTGCTGCAAGAGCCTTTGTCAAATTGAGGTGGTTTTAAAGGAATGGAGCTTAATAATCAATCCTGTTCTATGACTGTGCTATTCATAACCATTTACTCCATCTCCACAGAATTACAAAAAATAGCTACCACCCCTTTGGGATTCAATATTCAAACACAAATAACTTATAAGTGATGACATTTTTTAGCAGTATCAGAAAGCACTGGCACCGTTTAATCTTTTGCTGATTGAATTTAGGGTTTGGCTTTTAAAATGAAAGCATGATAAAGTCCTTCAATTCCAGCAGCACAAACAGTGGCAAAGCGCTTGCAAAGCAGTTTTGCTTACTGATTGCACTAGGTTGGGTTTGCTGGGATGCACCACATTTAGGGACAAGAGGAAAAAAAAAAGCACTGAAGTACTGGGGGAAACTGTATCTGCATCATCACAGCTTTTCAGACTTTTCATACCCTTATTTTTATGGAAACAGATTTATATAATGTTTACAAACTTCTGTGGCTAATTTTCATGTAGTGCCTTGAGACAGACACTGGGCTACCCTTGAAGAGACATGAAGGAGGTGAATATGGAAGGGCTGAACAACAGCAGGTGGTCTCATACAAGATACTGAAGGTGATGTTTCTTGCATAACAAATTGCTGGTGAGAAACTGAGATGAAGCTTTGAGATTGGTTTTGAGGCTTTAAATGAAGCAAGGTTAAAATCACCCAGTGTTAGCTTTGTCATGCTAAACATGTTTCATATTATATCTCTGCATACACTTTTAATTAATTCTTATCATTTTCACAGGCAACATGACCTTGAACAAGAGACGTGCTGTAAGACCATGGTAGTGACAATATAAATAATATAAAAAGAAATCCTGGGTACAGACAAGTTAGTATTTGCTTCCATCTGAAACTTACCTGGCTGTCCTTTAATACTTTACAGGGCATGAAGAGGCATAAAAGTTGTCACCTTTCTGAACTTGGAGCAATGTAGAACAGGATGCATAACTTTGTGAAGTGCAGAAGAATCTGGGTTCAGGTAATGCTGTTCTCATCCCTGCTGTAGTGCTGCAATGTAATAAACAGTTCAAAGATGGCAAAATCTGTAGTGAGATTAAAGGCTGGGAGCCATACATATAGCTTGTAAAAAAAGTGGAAAACCTAATAAATCTACTTCCTATCAAGGGAAGGATCTGCTAGTTTTACAGTTGTGTTTTCTGTACAATTTTAGGTCACATGAGCAATTTAATGATTTCTTCTGGATCTAATATAAAACCCTGGAGTTCATGTAAACAGCCTCTCTGTTTCTGAAGGAGCAGATTTCCCAGACGCTGGAGGGCTGGATATTCCAGACTGGACACCCACCATTAGAGACTGCTATTTAAAAATCAGGCACCAAGAATTTCTGATCTTGCTCAATACCCAATAGACTCCTTTGTTTGAATGCTTAATCCCACCATTAGGCACAAAGGTCTGTTAAAATAACGTGGCTTTGGGTGTTCTGCCTTTTGCCTGTTTTAAATTATCTTTCTTAACCCTACAAAAAGTTACTCTCTGAGAATAACTTGATTTACACCAGCCTGGATATACTGTCTACTCCTCTGCCAGTACCACTCTCATAGGTATATTCTGTGCTACCTTATTACCAGTTTGGTCAAATATCTTTCCCTAGCAATCTATTTAATACTCAGATAAAGAACCAAGCCTCTGAACTCCTGTGAGCTCTCAGCATCTGATGTTGTGCTGACTTATTTTGGAAGCAGCAATGCTCCTTGGAGGGAAGAACATAGGTACAGGGTGACAGGCATGGGTGGACAACACCGGGCTGCAGAGGCACAGTGGAACTGAGGCATGGCTTGCTATTACTTCATCCCCAGATAATCTCTTTGCTCGGCAAAACTAGTGGGTGACAGCCTTATGTAAATACAAATGTAGTTGCTGATTTGGATACTTACAGTCCAGGTACAGATGTTTTTCTATGTTTAGTCTAAATAAAGTGAATCTAAGGCAAGAAGGAAAGGCAGGAATAGTCAGTGGTAATGGGAAGCAGAGTTTACTGCAATGACATTATTGCCCCAGCCATGGCTGGAACAGAAGCAAGTTCACTTGTGCAGCCTCCTACCACATCCTCAGGTCACCACCTCTTCATTCTGCCACATTTCAGTATGTACTACCAATTCATGTAAGACACACAACTTAGCAGATGACCATGACTGATCCACTGGATTTAGGGACAAGAGGGGTTAGGAGGTCGTAGTAACACTTGACACAATGGTCTGTGTCTGCGCATCAATGGCTGGTGCCCTATGGGCCTCTTGGGAGCTTCCCTCTTCTGGTCTTTTGGTAAATTCACAGTTCAAAAGTCCAGCTTTCTTCCATCCACAGCTTTTCACATGCTACAGCCCATCATTGTTGTCAGATGCCAGGCAAAAATCATTCTTTTCAGAAAAGCTAATCTCTTCATAACAGCATTTATACATAAATTAATGATAGATCAAAATATAAAGATGTTCCTTTTTGATTATTTGCCCATTTACAGGAAATTCAGTTAAAACTGTTTAGTTTTATCATCACTAGACAAAATAAGCATGACAGGATATTCTAGGCTCTGGATTATGTAGATAACACACAGAAATGTCATTTACATTTTCATTCTTTTCACAGAGCAACAAACCCATGCTTGGAAGCAAATTAAAATTCAGAACTTAATTGGATTTTATATTCTCTTTAAACAGGTAATATTGTTTTTCTTCTTTTTATTATTGTATCTGAACACTGGATTTCATTTTGAGAGTGTGCCACTGAAGGTAAGAGGCCTTCTGTGCTAAATGGTTCATTTAACACCATTAAAATCTACCTTTCTTCAACACATTCGAGGATTTAGATTGTTGAATGCCAGTAGTTCAGTATTATTGTTAAACAAGAGAAAGGCTATGGAAAATGATTTTCTTGGCTGTATGCATGAACATACATATGTGTGCATATATCCACACAAGCACATGCATATACGTCTATATATTTGCATGCATGTGCACAAACATCTGTGTGCTCATTTAAATGTATATCTCTGCATGCAAACGTAGAGAAAATGTTCCAGTAATTTACCTCTGCATGCTTTTATGTTTACCATAACTTGACAAACAATTTAGGAAAATTAAAAAAGCAGCAGCATATTTTGGTTGAGTCTGGAAATCTACTATATATGAAACAATGGAAATCATTCACTGTTTCCCTTTTTTATTCTGTTTATCCTGAGCTTCACTGAGGTGGCGCTGCCTGATACTGCATTTATGATCCTATCTCTGCTGTTGGTCAGTAAAGTCCAAAGAGCTTCTCTGCTACTGAGGATTACGAAGAACAGGTTTCCCACTGTGTATGAATGGCATGCTCTAGCTAGGGAAAAAAGTCTTATTAGGGCAGAATAAGAAGCATCCTAGAGAAAACCTCACTAAGCTGGTCATATTGTCATTGAAAAAGATACCAAGAATGGGACTTTGGCAGGAAACTGCACTTGTAAGGGTGACAGAGGGAAAAGTCACCTTGATGCACTCCATCTTACTTTACCACTGCTGACTCTCCATGTCAGAGAAGAGCACTGTGGTGCCAGGCACTCTGCAATTGAGACCTGCTCACACACTTCTGTTTTGTGGCACTGTAAAGCAAGGTTTCACTCCACACAAGCCATTTGCTACATGAAAATTCTGGATGATGAGAAAGCATTTCCTGGACAGCACTTCTCCCTGTGAGTGTTCCCAGCACAACAGGGGAGCTGGGAGGCAAGAGGCCATTCCTGTTGCATCCCCAGGCAACATGGTCACGCTTTATCCCAGGGTGACAAAGGTCTTCTTGCAAATGTACATATTCCCATTCATCTAATGAACACTTCATGACCCTGAAGAATTCACTGAAGCGGAAGCCCAGTTCAAAAAGCCTCAGTGCTGAACAAACACACTTGGACTAATCCCAGTTCTTCCTTTACTCCTGTTACTTCTGGTCAATGTGTGTCAAACATCACACCCACAACTGAAAACCTCCACACTGCAAATCTGTATGGGGTGAGGCATGAGCAGCAAGGCATTGCTAACTGAGGGCCTAATTATAAAACTGCCATTACCTTTGGGAAATAACTGACCGCAAATGTCAGCTCATCAGCAGGGGTAGGAGCATTCTTGCTGAAGTATAAAATTCTCTGTATTAAGTTTCTGCTTTTCACGCTGTATCATTTTCAAGTGCATGACTTAAAACTGATTATGCCAGACATCTTCCCACATCTTCTGTGTTTTCCCTTCATCAGTGATGCCAGCTTCAACACCTGCCACAAGCTACGTAAGTGTGTAAATTAAAAATGTACCTTGCCTCCTCTACACTGACCTTCCTCACAGATTATTAGCTGCACTTACATCCACCTAAGATGGAACCTCCACATGTACAATGCATCAAAACCTCTGCATCATTTGAAAATTTACTCCTCATTTTATAAGGTATATTTAATGTGGTTTGTAACTAAGTGAAGATTTGGAATAACTTTTCAAAAATGAACCTTTTCCACACAAATGCACCCCTAAGTAATAAAGAAATAAGCAAGGAATAAGAGTCACATTTTTTGTCTGGCTAGATCTCTGTTCCCTGGGAGTTCAGAAGCAAGCGTATGACTCTGTCAGAAAGCCATTTCTGTGTTATTTCTGCCCAACCTTAAGTAAAAGAATTCTTAAATGAACATATAATGGGAAAACCTGCTCCCACCGGGATATCAAGTCCAGCTTTGTAGACATCAAAGTTCTGTCTAATTCAAATTGCTTTGGCATAGCTGTCAGAATTTGCTCTGCCATGCTTATTTATTTCAGCCGTGTGGCATTTTTCTCTTATGCTTAGCCCAGTGATGAACCTGGCCAGCCCCACTCACACGTGATTTCCATCACAGTGCTGAGTGATGTGAGACTCAAGCATAAACTGCTCTTGCCCAGCCTCTGTGCCAGCCTCGCTCTCTGCTCAAATGTCCAGAGGACATGGACATGAAAGGGGCCCAGAGAAGCAGTCACAGAGAGCAATTTTTGATTTTGAAAGAGTTTTCTGAGGGTTCTTTTTCTACTCTCCCATCTTTTTTGTTTTTAATGAACACATTTTCTGTTCCAGTAATAAGTCAAAGCTCTCTTTAAAGCACAACCTCCTATGAAGGCAAAAAAATAAAACACAGTTGGTCAGAGAATATTGCATCTGTATCTCCTGTCTCCATGTGATGATATCTGAAGACACGTTTCTACCAGAAGTGTTTCTGATGTATAGCTTTTGTTTTGAGTAAATAAATAAACTGAAGTACTGGCTTTTGGCATAAAACTCTGACTTTTCTATGGAATGCCAACACTTCCCACACCTGTAAGGCAACACACATGAAACAGAAGGATCTATTCCTTTCCTTCTGGTCCTCATCCTTCAGAAAAAAACCCACCAAGGTCTTTTCCTTTGCAAGAAAACCCTTCCTCTTTCTATCAGTAGTAAGACCCCTTTCAAATGAATAATGAATTTATATTTACAAGTGAGACCATATGCTTCCCTTCACCTCCTGCTTCAGAGAGTACCTGGTTAGATACTGCCCTATAAATACCATCAACTTGACTCACAAATATGATGGAAACAAATGCATTTTAAATGCATATGGGCAGGGTAGCTGGAGGGCTATACAGCTGCAATCCCACTACTCACACTTTTATAGCAGAGCAATTCTGTGGTTCAGCTGCAGCTCCCACCAGCAGTACTGGTACCACAGCTGTATACTGCAGGCTAGGGGTGATGGAGATCCCCAAGGGGCCAGTGCCGATTGGAAAACCTCAGTGACTACAATGCTGATCTGTGTCATGATTAAATCCCCAATAGCAGTGATGGGAAGGATTTTAAAAGTCTGTTTAAATTAAATAGAAATTACATGCTTCTCTTGTACTTCTAGCTTTTCTAATTTTAATTTTTTAAATAAAGACTTGCTGAGCATATCCAGTATCTGCTTTTCTAGCTATGGTGCAAGCAGTTGAGACCAGCTCTTTTTATTCTATGCAAGTGAGTGGCCTGGGCTGCTGAGTGCTCAGCATTACCAAAACATGTCATTCTATTCATGCAAGCGATACCCATCAGCTTTTGTCTGTCTGCTTTAGCTAATTGTGTAAGTGAGACTAAGTAAAATTCAAATAGTTCCTGAAGGGAAGAGGCATTCATGAGCAAACCTCTGTAGGGCAGAAGGATGGTATTATTTCTACTTTTCAGCTGACAGGGAGGGCTGGCAAGGGACTTACCCAAAGTCACACCGATGTCTCTGGTTCTCACTAGCCCCTCCCTACCTTGCAATGCTTTGGCAGCTTCAATTCCTGTGCATAAGATAAATGTGAACTTCTCAAGGAGCCTGTGATGGTCAGCCCTGTTAGGGAGTTGTTACTGATCACTAAATCCAACTCCTAAAAAGATGTATAGAGATGCAGTTGTGTAGAAGGCAGCTTGTCACTGGCATCAGCAGAGAGAATAATTCACTGCAAGACAGCAGAGCTAACACGCTAAATTGTCAGGGCAGGATGACTACCCATAAGCAAAGTTAGGACATTTCATGGGAAAAGCATCCCACTCAAGCCATCCTGGTAGTTAGATGCAAACAAGCTCCTTGCTGACATAGCCAAGGCATGGCAATGGCTCCCCACTGATTTGATGCCAGAGGACTATGGGACAACCTATATGGTGGTGCAGGTGTGGGTGGGTGAGCAACTGGGGCCTTAACCCTTCTCAGAAACATTGTGGTTTGTAACTCTGGCTCTCACAAGAGGTCTCTTTGACCCCTGATGCTGTGAAATAAACTTCTGGGTAACTCAGATACATGCTTTTAAACAAAATCATGTTTCTGAAGGTTTACTGGCAATACATGTGGGGAAAAAAATCCCTTCTTTCCCCACTTCATTTTGGAAAACAGGCTGTTGAAATAGTTTTCTTCTTTAGCATTTAATATTGATGCTTAGGGAAAAAGCAACAGCAGGAAAAGGTAGCCAAGAAATACCATCTTTCAAATCATGGGTGCTGATTACTAGTAAAAGGGAACCTGGTGTTATCCTCTTTGCTAGAAGAAAAATAAAGGGGAAAAAAGATCCAAGAAGCTAAAAGTAATTTTATGTCATTAAATTATACTTTTGTGATTACAACAGATGCCAGTGGAGTGGCCATAAATCTAGCTCCTCAGAGACAGTAGAGTAAGGCTGGTTTTAAATTACAGAGGGTTTTTGCATACAGATGTGTTGAAGGACTTCATTCAGCTGTGACTGTTTATAGTTTTAAGGTTATCTTGGCAAGAAGTTTATGGCCTTTATATTACCCCTAGACACGTCCAGTTTGGGCAAACATAGCTAAATATTCCAGAGGTCCTCAAGTATATTTATCTTGCACCCCTCATCTTCCCACCCACCCCACATACCCCAAACCAGAAAATACCACGCAATGCCTCTAACAATCTCAACACCTTCGGCACAAAACCTGACACCTCGGGAATATGCTACAGGAGATGTCAATGCTCCTAGCATTTATATAAATGTGGCCAGTTATATTAATGGGTCATTAAGATTTGCCACCTATCTGTTCCTGTTGCAGGGAGCTGTCAGAGGTGTGATGGGCTGAATGTGACAGCACAGCCACTGTGACTTTTCTCTTGCTTGCAGAGATCAGTCTGTCGCCTCAAGCCTGAACCCACTTTAAAACT